AGAAGATGGCGGTCCCCTAATCAACCCAGTTCCCATCAGTTTATATGTGTGATTATATAACACCAACAACATGAAATAGTGAAAGTCGACTATAAAGCAATATTTCACAATCTTAGTTAAGTAAGGAAGCAAAAGAAAATAATAATAATAATATTTAATCACGTGCATCGGTGCGATGCACGCGCAAACTAGTGTCTAAAGAAAGGTCTGTTTTAACCGGATAAAATGGTAGAAGGATCGTCTAGTTTTTACCCGGCCCGATAACCAGGCCTGACGAGGTCCCAACAAAAACCTCCCCCCTCCCTTCCTTCCGTCCGTCAATCACGAAGAAACAGACGAAGATGGGAAAGGCGAAACCGGCGGCAGCAGCAGCAGGCGTCAAGAATGGAGTAAGAGCTAACAGTGAGCAGCGGCCGACCAAAGCTTCACCCTCTCGAAAGCAGCGTGCAGCCATGCCTCTTCATGATGGCTCACCCGTGGACCACCAAACCCAATACCTCTCAAGCCTCTCGCGCCTCCAATTCTTCCCGTCCCCGTCCCCGTCTCCATCTCTCAGCCGTCTCCATCTCGGCCTCTCCTCTCGGTCTCCGTCCTCCTCAGCGACGGCAGCTGCCCCCTCTCTCCCCAGGACCGCGACGCCCTCTTGGTACTCGCAATTTTTTTTCTTTCGTTTTTTGTTTGGGGGATACTTGATTGAGCCGTTATTGTTACTAGTACTACTATTATTTATCTGGGTTTGATTTGATGTTGGAAAAAAAAAACAGGCGATGGTGAGGAGGATGCTGAGGATATCGGAGGAGAACGACCGGGTGATCAGAGAATTCCACGAGGCGTGCGGTCCGGGGGCGAAGGAGGGGGGATTTGGTCGGGTGTTTAGGTCCCCGACGCTGTTTGAGGACATGGTCAAGTGCATTCTCCTCTGCAACTGCACGTCTGTGCCTTCTCTTTTTCCTACTGCTCATAATGTTGACACTTAATGATGTTTGATGCAAGTTTGTTTAGATATATAATCGCTTTGCACAAATTAGTAAATAAATAAATAATAAATAAAAGTAGTTACCATAGCTGTAGTTTGGGTTGGCTAATAACATTGACGAGATATAGTAGTGAAAAGTAATGAGTCTAAACTTACAACAACTAAGGCAGAGCTAAGGCGGAGCAATCACTTGTGAATTTATCCGCCTTAACATTATTAGAGACCTTAACATGATAATCTCTTTGCTTTTAGTTTTAAGATCTTATACCATATTTGTGACCGGAAGCCTTCAGAGGTCGATCACTTTCATAATTTCATTTACGACATCGTCAGAAGCTCGTATCATCTTTATTTTTCTGGGCATTGTCAAGTTTTCTGCTGCAAACGGTCATTGCTAGTGCTACTGATATGCAAATTGTCAGTCTGCAACTAGCTGACTATTAAATTCTGTACACACGATGCCATTACTCTCCGACATCAGTTGTTATTCTCAGTTCATCAGTGTCCTGTATTATTATTATCTTTGTTATGAACATGTTGTTATTCATTTTCACGATGAGAATCTGTTACTTCGGTGGTTGTGACTGTGAGTGAGTTTGTCGGTAAGCAGTGGAACACCATGTATCCTTGATAAGCGATTCACACTCAGTGGTTCCGAAAAGAATTTCTATTTTGAAGATCATTACAAGCAAATGTGTGTTGGATCTAGTACAATTATTGTTGATGATGCATAACGGAATTATCATTTTTAACTCTCATTTCCATTATTAAGTTTCTTATCATTGACGTCGCTCACATATGGAAGAAATCAGATAAATGAATACTATAACAGATGAATTCTCATTCGAACAGATGGCCAAGGACTCTATCCATGGCTAGAGCTTTGTGTGAGCTTCAGCTAGAAATGCAGTCTCATTCAACTTCTGAAGTTTTCCATCCACAGACACCTCAGCCAAGAGAACTAAAGAGAAAACGTGCAAGGGGAAAGAAGACAGTCCTAACCTTAGAAGCCAAGTTTACGAACAACGAAGCCAAATCGTCAGAAGAAGCAAACTTGGTGATCAAGAACGATCATCAACCTGAGCATCCTCAAGGGAATGAAGCTTGTGAAAGTATTCTCTCAGATACAGGGGACTTCAGCAACATCATTGGAGATTTTCCTACTCCAGAGGAATTGGCAAACCTTGATCCGCAATTTCTGGCCAAGAGATGTGGGGTTGGATACAGAGCACGACGCATAATTTCTCTTGCTAAGAGTATTGTGGACGGGACTCTGCGACTGAGAGATCTCGAGCAAGTATGTGATGGATGTGTATCATCTAGTTATGAAGAGCTGGACAAACAATTGGCTGGTATCAATGGCTTCGGTCCTTTCACCCGAGCAAATGTTCTAATGTGCATGGGCTTTTATGAGAAAATTCCAGCTGACACTGAAACACTGCGGCATCTGAGAATGGTATGTGCCTGGCCCTATGTACTCACCATATGTATATATATGCCGTATTTTCCCCTTTCCTCCTATCTTTTAGGGTAGTTTAGGACTTTTATCCTTCGTACTTAACGTCGTTGTGACAGTTTTTCGATAGTTCATAATAGTTTTGTGAAGTGCTGAAAATTCATAGGGGTTTTCTCAAATGTATGATGTTCAGGAGTGGTTAATTTTGTGCTAAACAGCGCAAAGTCCAAGGCCTTTTTTGTGAAATTTGCCCTTCGATGTACTAACTGCTATGCTACTCTTTTTATGTACTATATAATGCCCATAACAAAAACAATGTAGGTTCATGGTCGGAGTTGCACCATGAAATCAGTTCAGAAGGATTTGGAGGCAGTTTATGGCAAGTACGGGAGGTTTCAATTCTTGGCATACTGGTAAATTCTCTTACGTAGTTTCAAAAAAAAATTTGGGGGGCTAAATATTAAAAAAAACCCTTACTTTGCATGATTATCGAAAGCCCCCTTAACTTTCAAAATATCAGAAGGGGCTATCAGAAAACCCCCTTCAACTTTATCAGAAAGCCTTAGGGGGTTTTCTGGCAAAATCTCAAGAGTTAAAGTGGGTTTTGTGATAGTTATCCAAAGTTAGGGGGGGTTTGTGATATTTAGCCTTTTCTTTTCTTTTATTTTTCCCCCTTGTGTCATTATAATTACCCTGTTATTTATGTGGTAATTAATTTTGAATCAGGTCTGAGCTGTGGGATTACTATGAAACGAGGTTTGGTAATTTCAGTGAGATGTCAGCCTGTGATTACCCGTTATTCACTGCAGCCAACATGAGGAAGAAGGTTTCAAAAAGAAAGCATATGAACTGATGACATCTGCTGATGTTGTGTTGTAGGCTATTAGATTCTCAGAGTTTTCAGATTGTTCTTCAGACCTGAGCGACGTGGTGAATTATTTACTGAATTATTTAAATCCTCTAAAATCAACCTGCAATTCTCAGAGCTTATATACGGCCGCCTGGTGGTTTAGCAAGCAAAAAAAAATCCGAGGAACAAGAATGAGAAGGAAACTGGCGTCACCCCTCCCCCTCCTCCTCCGCCCCTTCTCCTCCTCCACCACCACCAAATTTATAAATTAGAACTAACGTGGTATAAATTAGAACTAATACTCTACAGAATAGAATTAACACTATACAGATTAGAACTAACACTCTACAGAATAGAACTAACACTGTGCAGATTAGAACTAACACGCTACAGAATAGAACTAACACTGTGCAGATTAGAACTAACACGCTACAGAATAGAACTAACACTGTGTAGATTAGAACTAACACGCTACATAGTTAGTTCTATTTTTATACTAAGTTAGTTCTATTTTATACCACGTTAGTTCTATTTTATACCAAGTTAGTTCTATTTTATACTAAGTTAGTTTTATGTTATAACATGTTAGTTCTAATTTTAACCCCATTAGTTTTAATTTTAACCACTCTCTGTGTGCCTCTCTCATTTGGGTACCGTGGGTCGAGGAGCTGATGGACAGGATCATCAGGGAGTGGCAAGACTGAATGCAACGTGGCTGCAGCGTGCAACCTGTTCGATGAAATGTCTTGAAACATACATAAGTAGGGGAAAAGTATCGTCGTTTGGTTTTTCTATATATATGACGTTCTGATCATTTTAAACCAGCGTTTTACTTTTATGCCGATTGAGGAGGCATTATTAGAAGTGGGCTAAATTAATAGATTTGGTATTGAGAATAGGCCACTTTTACCCGTTTGATGCCAAGAGTAGCTTTGGCGTCTTTTTGGCATTGATACTACGCTGTTACATGCGATTAGAACCAATTTTTTTTACTGCTGGCCAGAGAAACTCACCGGAGCTCAACAATCCTGGGTTAACTAGATGCTGACTTGGCTCGGATTGGTTTTAGTGGCATAATAAGAGTTTGCTAACACAAAACTCAAGCACGCGTACCCTCTCAATCATCTTCCTCTCTTGACATTCAAGCGTACGCTTCGATGCCCTCTCTTTTCCTACTCAATTTTGAGATCTCCTCTTTAACAGTCAACATCTTTAACTGGCACAAGTCAAGCTTCTCTTTTTTACTCGGCAATATCACCACGGCGTATCTTTAAACCTTTCCTCACCACGTTCTACGAACGCTTCCTCCACTATCAAATTGTTCCTCACGCACATTGGATTGTCAATTCATTCCTAAAGATCACAACTATCAAAATCAAGCTTTTTTCAAAGAGAGGAGGAAAGGAGGCATGTGTTTCTCACATAGCTCTCAACTGCCACTGCCTAATCTTAAAAACTATCTGCCATGTCATTAATTTCGATACGTGTCAACAGTCAAGTGAGGTTTAAAGTGCTTTTTTCTCCGCCAACAAGCTTATGTGTCTACTTGCATTAAACATGTATTTTTAACATATAAAAACGCCGGGGAGCTGCTTCTAGTACCAAACATATAAAAACCATCTACTTTATAGACTAATATGTTAATTTAGCCATTCGAAAAGTATCAAAACAATGTCATTATATATGAATTTATATTTTTGAGATTAATGCTTGGCCCAGTACCAAAGAGAGCTTCGTGAGAAAGGAATAGGCTAGAATATAAATTTAGCCTATAAAGTGACACTCTCTAAACAATAATAAAAACCTATAAAATGACGCCGACAACAATAACACCTATAAATAGACACATTGAACCATTTACACCTATTTCGACTGCTAGAGTTTTGATTTGAGCAGGAATATTAGGAATTTTTGCATATATATATATATATATATATATATATATATATATATATATACATCATATCTCTCACTTATAGATTTAACCCCTGAATTAAAATGTTTGCATAAAAACTCAACTCTCTCTTTCTTCTCAACCCCTCTCTCCTCACTCCGCTCTTTTTCCTCCACTTCTCTCCTCCCTTCTTCCTCCACTCCCTTCTCCACTTTTAATTAATGTTTGAGAGGAGAGAGGGGAGAGGAGAGGAGGGACGAAGAAAAGAAGACTGAGAAGAGAGAATAGAGACAGATTGAACCGAGAAACATGGATGGAGAAGGAGGAAGAGGAGGATGAAGGACATGAGGGGGAGCTCGAGAGATGAAATTTTTATGAATATTTTGAATTTTAGAGGGCAAATAAGTAAATGTGAGTAACTGAGGGGTATATGTGTAAAAATCCATGATTTTCTCGCTCAGATCGAAACTCCGGCGACCGGAGCAGTTGTAAATAGTTAAGTGCGTTAATTTTTATATGTTATTATAGGCGTCATTAATTTTTTTAGACCAAATAGATTAGTGAGCGTCACATTATAAGCTAATGCGATATTTTAGACCACAGGAATACAAGGGAGGGTATTCAATATTTCATGACCAAACGGTCCAAACCCAACCACGGCTTAGCTATTCTTTTATACAAATGGGAGAAACAAAGAGTCACTGTTCATACCACAGTAAATACCATAGTAGATTTACTGTAGCAACTGAGAAACTCAAAAAACACTGTAGCAGATCGGTTACTGTAACAGGCGAGTTACTGTAGCACCACAGGAAATTCAAACCGGGAGAGTTTAAAAACGGCGGGAACACTGCACGGGCTGCACACTAGTTAGTTATTAATATATAAATAAATAAATAAATATAAATAATGCTCAGCAGGACTGCTCTCCTCCTCTTTCGCTTTTTGCAAGCCACTAGGGTTTTTTTTTGGGGCAGCAGCAGAGACTTTCCGGCAAATCTCAGATCAATCAGGAAACAGCAGAGGCTCTACCCTAATGGCGGCAGCGGTCTCTTCTCTTTCTCAGATCTGCATACTGAATCCGGCCTCAAAACCCTAGACGGCTATCTCTCCGGAAAAACCTTCATCTCTGGGTAGATTCAATTCCCATTCATGCATTTTGATAGAATAACTCTTTCTAATTTTAGGCAAGATCAGATTTTTTTGTTTTCTGAAGTTGTTTCGATGCGAATCCACAGAGATCAGATCTCCAAAGACGATGTTAAAGTCTACGGAGCTGTTCCCCAGAAGCCAGCGGAGAGTTTTTCAAGCGCTGCCAAATGGTACGCCAGCGTGCACTCCGTTCTTGCTGCAAGGTAATCCATTCACTTCTTAATTTTGGTATTATCTGTTAATCTAGACAAGGTTTTTGTAGTAAATTTTTTTAAATTATTCGCATGATATGAGCATGGGCTGTTTAGTTGATGGAATGGCTACTTTAGGTGATGGTTAACTTCTGCGATGAGGAAATTTTATGCAAAATGTTGCATCAGGGGGGGCTGTTAAGTTAAGCTTAATGCAGATTTAGAGAGTCATTTTATGTTTCATGATGAATCAGATAACGTATGCTGTGTTCCTGTTCATCACAAGTCTGTGACTTAATGAACGTCGAGTTTTGCTCAACAACTGTTGCTTAAGGTGCTCTTATGGTAGTGGAGATCTATATCTACTTTTATGATGACATCATAATGAAAAGCTATTCATGTTCAGAGTGAATCTCAACATCTTTACTAAATTAAGATAAACCAGAGCAGAACCTGATTCAGCTCCTCCTTCATATGTTATCTTCAGATTCTCACATCCGATGAAAGTTCATCTTCAAAGTCTGTTTATTCAAGCTAGCTTGCGGCTAATTTTTTTTAAAAAATAAATCTCATAATGTACTGATTTATGATTTAATATCATGAATTGAGAGAAATAAATTTTATGAGAAAAATAATGATTTGCTTGGGCTTAAAAGTTGCCTCAGGAAGTCTTTGCTGACTTAAGGCTATATGGCAATTTTCTTCTGAAATCCAAACACCCATCCTGCCCCCAACTACCCTTTAACGAAAGGAAGTTGAAAGAAGCTGCCAGGCACTATTCTTGCAGCTTATCTTTTAGCCTCCTTATCCTGTTTGTATCTACATATAATCATTAGAGTTCTTTATGCTTAGTAGTTAAAAAAACCCGGTCTAATCCCATTTTTTAGATTTGAATAGATCATCTTTCAGAGTGGCACATATGCAGGATCTATTTAGTCAGCTGTGGGATCTAGCATTCATAATTATAGGATTTAAACAAACTAACATTAACTAGTTTTCTGAATAATGAATGGCAATTTCAACTAAATACTTTCAGTTCATTTTAACTTGCTATTAGAAATATGAAACTTTCAGTACCAAGATTTTCATCAAAGAGGTAGAATTGCTAAATGGCTTTTAAGTGAAGAAATTCCAAATACATCCAGTGAGAGGATAACTACAATTCAACTGACTTTAGTATCTTATTCCTCATAACCAAACGCTCATCAACTTGAATGCTTGTTATTTAAATTTTTTTTTTCCGCTTTATTCTTCTGATTCTAATGTTTCACTGTTTTATGCTACCAGATTTCCTGGGCAGACTGTTGGAGTGAGATTTGGTGGGCAAGCTGCACCATCAGCTGCTGTTCCTGCTATCCCTGCTACCAAGGTGTGTCATCCTTAGGAAGTGAAACTTTTGATAATTGACTAAAAGACTAACGGACTGTAGATTTGTGGGTACACAGTTTTGAGGAGTCTTCCTAATTGAATCCTTTTTGCATAAATCTGAGTAAAAAAAACTTATCGTCAAAAAGGTCCATTTGTACTATCTGAATATGCATCCAGCTAGAGCCTAGATAGCATATCTTTTACATCTGTATCCTCCTACAGGAGGGTTGTTAAGTGCTGATTACTGATTAGATACTGATGATGAGAATTCATTTAATGTGCTGTAAATTTTGTAGTGCTTAAGTCAGTTTTCAAGACATCTAACATGTTGGTTAAGCTTATATATATTCTGAAGATTTGTCTGTTAGCTTCTACTGAATAAGAATTTGTTGTTTTCACAATCACAGGAGAGTGCTGGAGATGATGATGACGACTTGGATCTATTTGGGGATGAGACTGAGGAGGACAAAAAGGCTGCAGAAGAGCGTGAGTCTGCTAAGAAGGCCTCCACAAAGAAGAAAGAAAGTAAGCATTTGTTGTTGCTTTGTGCTTCACATGTTAGTCTGCATATTTGAGGTTGTGCATTTACCTGCTTTTATTTGCAGGCGGGAAGTCATCTGTTCTTCTGGATGTGAAACCTTGGGATGACGAGACCGACATGAAGAAGCTCGAGGAGACTGTTCGTTCAATTGAAATGCCTGGTCTCTTGTGGGGGGCATGTATGCTCTTAATGTTTTCAACCTCAGTCCGCTTTCCTTTTTTTTTAATCAAAATTGCCCTTTTAAACATCAGCTTTCTTATCATGAAGGGGTTAAGCCTCTGTCAAACATGGAAAAGTTACACATGGAATGAGTCAATAAACTACTAACCTGCCTAAAACTTTCAAAAGCTGATAAACTCCAGAGTAAACCCGTCTATAAATTACAAAAGATTTAAAATTAACCCTTCTTGATATGTTGAGAGGAGTTAAACCCTGAAAGTGGGGAACTTACTAATTCAGCTGTGTAGACGGGTTAAGAAATTGTTTACATATGAAGACATAATAATCTTGTATATTTTTTAACCCTAAAGAAGAGCACACGAGGACTAAATGAAATCTTACCTGATGAGTTAATCAATCTGGTTCCTTTATTCTAAATGGGTTTACGCCCCCTGACATAGACAAAAAAATTGGTCATGGAATAAACTGAGTCGATCCTGATTTATTTTCCCAAATGTTAGAAAAGCGTTGGGATAGCCAATCTTGAAGAATTAAAGGGAGTTAACCCTCAAAGTGAGGGTTTTGCTACTATCCACCTCCTTGGACTTAAAAAAAAAACCCTTTATAATTTATAAAGAAAGTCATAATAAGTAATAGCCATCTCCGTTCTCAAACTCAGAACAAGTCTTAATTGATGAGTTAGCTGATTCCAATCATTCTTAATACTTACTGCTCATTCCTAATCCCGTTAACCTTTATTTGTCTAGCAAAGCCTTACCGCCTATTTTCTTTTATATATTGCAGCTAAACTCGTGTCTGTTGGGTATGGCATAAAGAAACTACAGATCATGATGACCATCGTAGATGATCTGGTGTCGGTTGACACTCTTATTGAGGAACGCCTTACGGTTGAGCCAGCCAACGAGTACATTCAGAGTTGTGACATTGCGGCCTTCAACAAGATTTAGATTACTTCTCTTACTCTTTTCAGAAGTCAAGCAGCAGAGTTCACGGGGAAACGTCGTAGTAGTGTGTTGATCATTTCTTAGATTTTATTTTATTTTTTGGTTTTCCTTTGTGAGAATTGATGGCATTTCTTATCAAGTGTATCTGGTGAATTTTGAACTTTATGCTTTAGTATTTACCTTTTTGTTATGCTCTAATGGTTATTGTGTTTCTTATGATCAGACCTTGCGGTTGGATTATGATTTTCGAATGTGAATTATTCTGATTTCTAGGGCTCACATGTTCAGCATTATACTGCGCATTTAGTCCGTGAATTCAATAGAATTTGACCCATCTATCGTCTAAAACTAAGACGAGGTTTGACAGTTGATTTTAACTTATTTTTCTGCTTCAATTTTGTAACATTTTGATTGTTGTCTTTAATTTTATACTAAATATTCAATCCAATGAAACATCTTGATGCATCAATTTGAAAGCGGATGTCACTTTTGATATCATGTAATGGAGTCAATGATGATTCCTGTTAAGTCTCTTTGAATTTCAAAATGGAAAAGGACGACCAAGTCTCAGCGGCTTCGCTTTGTAAGTTGGATGGTAGTTTTTGACTTTTTAGCCTAACAATTGTTCAATCAGAGTCAATAGTTGGCCATCTATTCTCTTTTTAAAAGTAAAGCTGTAACTGATAACACAAATAATCACGGTAAGATGACGCCTAGGCAGCAAGCCAAAAAAAAAGCTCGGACATGTGGGGGCCGGTCAGCAGTCCATGAGAGAGGCTACATGCTTCAGTTTTTTTAGTGTTTAAGATTATAGAAAATTGTAGATACATCTTATAGTTTGGTTGTTTATGAGGCCAAATATCATAAAACCCACCTTAGCTTTCGAAATATCAAGGAAATGCCCTTCAGTTTAGATAGGGACTTTCTGATAAAATCTGAAAGTAATGATAATTCCTGTACTTTAATAAGGGGGTTTCCTGATATTTTGAAAGTTAAAGAGAGAGATTTCCGATGATCGATCGTCCAAAGTTTGAGGGGGGGTGTTTTCTGCCATTTGCCCTCTTTATTATTCTTGAACTTTCAATTAACATTCAGGAAACTAATTGAACTAGAGTACTAATTCTAGAGATGCACTCCCTCTTGAAGAGGATAACTTTCGGTACATCATCATCATCTTCTTCTGTTGAAAGCGTGAATAGAAACCACCGAATACTGTTCCCCTTCCACAACATTCTCGTATAATCTCGCTCGCTCCTTATTTTCAACAATTTTGACTTAACAAATTGAGCCCATTATTACCTACTACTTCATGAGCCAATCAATATTACCTCCACAGTCTTGTATTAATCCGGGCCCACGGCAGCATCCGCTGCCCGCATATCCCTTTCGGAGCAAGAAAGAAAGAAAGAAAGGAGCCCACGAGAAAGTGGGACTCCAAAATGAAGCGTCACGAGATCTCCTCGCCCCTTCCCCACTCTGCTGCACCCTGCACTGGGCCCTTCTCTTAACCTACACCTTACGTGCGCGCATTCCTCTAACCCGCCCGCAGCGGATCCATCCCCGCCCCACCCCGCCTTCGGTATCTGTGTTTTTAAAAAAAAGTATATAATATATATATATTAACTGTAAAATTAATCAACGGATAAAAAAAAAAAAGTGGGCTGCGCGGGTGCTTCAGTGAGTGGCAGAACTGCAGATCATCTAGGGGTGACGCTCGGAGGTTAGCGCTGTGTAGTTTAACACAAAACCACAGAAAAACTAAAAAAAAAAAAAACAAAAAAGAAAATAAAAGTGAGTAAATTCTGCGAAACCCACTAACCTAGCTTGTCCTCTCCCGTTCGCCCAGAAAAGTTGAATGGAGACGAGTATTCTACTGTACGTTGGCGACGAAATGGGGAAGAACGAGGACGCGCGTGCCGACGTCGGATCACCTCTTCCGAGAATGCTGCGCGCGGGCGGCGCGAATGGCTCCACCCCTGCCTCCGGATGAACGTATCCATCTCAGATGCGAGCTTGCCAGATGCGTTCTGATGTGTGTCGTCGAGTTGGCGTCTTCTTGGTCGGACGGGTTCTGGCCTGCTGCCCTTCTTGGGCGCGGGAAGCCGGGGATACGGGGTCATAAGGATCCGTTTCATGGAGGCAAGTGGATCTTTGGTTGCTTCTCTTGTTTACATCCGGCTGCTGCATTTTTAGATTTAACTTTTTTTGTTGAAGTCTATCTGGTCGGGTTCATCTGTAAGATGCAATGCTGGTTGATTTGGGAGTATCGTAGATCTGAGATTTGGGGGTTCGAGTGGATTGGTTTGGCTCTTTTGTTGGAATTTTGATGCCTTCGTGTTGTGGGTTAGAGCGTTGGAGAAATTTTGAGTAGGAAATTTTCGGGGGGTTTGTCTTGGATGCTGGATTTGTTGTGTTTCCCTGTGATTGAGGTGTTGGGATTAGGATAGACATCGTTTGAGCTGTTATTGCAATCAATTTGACCCATAATGCATGTTATGTTTCTATTTTTTTTTTCTTTTATGTTTTCGTTATTTGCATTTATCTTCAAATTTAAAAAGAGACTGCGTGGGCATCATATTGAATGAAACGTTTTGTAGAGTTTGCTCTCTGAAATGTCAGTTGGTTTTTAATGTTGCCAAACTAAGTATTTTATGCTGACAAAAAAATGTAATGTTTTCGTTATTTGCATTTATCTTCAAATTTAAAAAGAGACTGCGTGGGCATCATATTGAATGAAACGTTTTGTAGAGTTTGCTCTCTGAAATGTCAGTTAGTTTTTAATGTTGCCAAACTAAGTATTTTATGCTGACAAAAAAATGTACTATCCAGCCTATGTGGTGGCGAGTTTCAGAGTGCAAAAGCCCGTTTCTTTCTTGAATGCTAACATTGCAAGGCTTCAATATGACATCTTCGAAGAGATTGGTGTTCCAAATTCCTCGGTACCTTCCTCTTATCTTTACAGTCTTATACCTCCTGTTCATATACATGATGTTATTGTCTAGCTTACTTATCTTGACTCAACCAGGTGGCTGTTATTTCCCTGGAACCGTTTGGTGGATTGAACTGGACGAATGTGGTGTTTGGAATTTGGCCTTATCCAAAAACTACAACTATATCTTTGGCTGGGTTGAGCGTACTTCGAGATAATTTTAAGTCCTTCGTGATACGACGGTCAACTCTTGACTTGACCACATCCTTGTTTGGGAAAACATATTTCTTTCAAGTTCTAAAGTTCCCTGGAGGAATTACAATTATTCCCCAGCAAAATGCTTTTCTTTTGCAGAAAGCGGACATGCTTTTCAGTTTCACCTTAAATTTCCCCATCAACAAAGTAGAAGGGAAACTAGGTGAGCTGAAGGCTCAGATGAAGTCTGGTTTACTTCTCAGTTCCTACGAGGTAAGTCCTTTCTATTATTTTCATGTCACAGTTAGGTTTATTTTTCTTTTCTCTCATCATGAGCATTGTATGTTTCATTTAGATTGTCTCAGCGTTCCCTTGAATGTTGCATGTTCTGGTTAGATAATCAATCATATTAAAGAAATTGGCGACATTCACAACATCATTGTGTATCATAACAATGAATCCTTTTCAGTAATCTCCATTCACAAATATTTCAAGTTTTCAACTGTTCAAAAGACTGCTTAACTGAAATGAAACGGCAAATACAAACTCACTGGAAATAAGTGGGCTGATGTCCCATCTATAAGCTTTCATGTAAAAGCCGGCAACTGTCCCTGTATTACTTTAACGGACTACACATGTAACTATCTTAGAAGAACTTGCGTTCAGATCATGATATTTGAAGATAAGTTTTATGTATTAGATGTTTTCTTAAACTTTCTTAGTAAGTACAATTTTAAAAAAACTAATCAAGGACTTGCATGGACTGCAGAATTTGTACGTAAGTCTAACAAATTTGAAGGGTTCAACAGTTGATCCTCCAACAATTGTTCAGACAACTGTGGTGCTTGCAGTCGGGAATAGGCCACCTTCAGCACCACGATTGAGACAGTTGGCACAGACAATAAGATCTGACGAGAATCTTGGTCTTAATCACACGGTGTTTGGGAGAGTAAAGCAGATACAACTTTCTTCTTTCCTCAACCATTCTCTGAATGGTGGGGGTAATGGCATGTCTATACCACCTACTCCCGCTCCTCAACCACAAGTTGACCATCACCCTCACCGGCCATCACTCTGATATGGATCCAGCTCCTGCGCCTGCTCATCAACACTTGCACAGACCTCCAGCACCATGTGGGCGCCACTGTTTGTCTCCCAACAAACCCAAGAGCAGCCGTCACATAGTTCCTGCTGCTGCACCAGCTGATTCCCCAAAGACTGCACCTTCTTCAGAACCAAGTGATGATCTGCCTACTCTACCACCAAATGAACGTCCATCAGCTCCATCTCCATCCGAGGATCTACCAGCTTCTGCACCACGCTCATTCCACACACCTCTGCCGCATGTTTTTCTTGCTCGTGCACGATCTCCAAGTAAGAGTGCAACAGAGACTAAGCCTCCGGACAAAATCTCGTCGGTTTCACATTCACCTTTTTCATGTGAGTATTCTTTCCAAATATTTCATTTTAAAGATTAATTTAGTTCAAGCTATAATACAATAATAGTTATTGACCTATATATAAAGAATTAGTGCAGTAATAAAAGTCTAAAAGTTGGCTAAATTCATTACTTGGTTTATTGTTTTATCCATGGTATTGACGACTCGCTTAAAAAAATGTTTCTGTTCATTCATTCTAGCTGCATGATTTTGGTAAAGGCAAGGATGCATTTTTTCCCCCAGTAGCTTGGCATTGAAATGTGTCATCAATTTCAGAATTCCTGTTAGCATGAGCAAAAACACAATTGAGCAATGCTCGACCATGTTCCATGATGGACATTCCAGTTGTAAATTTGTTTCACCAGATTAGTTAGTCTTCATTGTTATTCTAGCTTGCCTTTCGATGGGGGTAGATTAAGTTTAACATAAGATTAGTTGGGGGAACATAATATAAGAAAACCAATATATATAGAGATCAGAAAATGATAAAGGACTAAACAACAGGAAATAAAGGGACCTTTCTAAACAATTCAAATCATTCTTCCTAAAAGATGTATTCTGTGTTTTTGTGTGTATGCATGATTTGGAAAGATTTCAAAAAGGGAGAATATAAAAGGCTATATTGTTTACAAATAAGTCACCTAAAGTAAACAATGTCAGTTTTTTTAAAGTAATTGAAAATGGTGTAATTAGTACAATAACAGTAATACTTTGAAAGTCTCATAATTCCCATGTGTATTAAAGGAAAGTTGCAAATTATTCACCATATAACAGAGCTAGGATAAAATTCCAATTATATTATTATGATATTATCTTCTACCTTCCCTGAAAAATAATAAAGAGAATGAAACGAAAGGGAAGAGGAAAGGCTATATCGTGGAAAACAGGAGAAAATTCACAGAAGGCAAGAGAAATTGTGCGAAAAGAGATGCAGTGAAGAGTAGAGAATGGAGGAAAGTAGAAAAGGAAGAAGCTATATGAAAGTGGGAAGCTTGTATTGAATTGCTTGATTGCTTCAAATGCATCCTCTCCGTCCTATTTATAGAGGCGAAGATGGACGGAGGGAATTGTCACGACCCCAATTTCTGAACCTAAAAGGGAATATTAGTGCGGGACTAAACCTATGAAAAATCCTCCAAAAATATATATTCATTAAAAGACCATCAAAATAATCTCTTCATTGAACTAAAACCAACAATAAATATTCTCTACAATCCCAAAAGTCAACATTAATCCCATTAACTTGATATAAACAAATATTCCTCAACTTGAAATAAAACTCGACCTAAAGGAAAGAATCTCATCATTACAAAACTCTCAATTTATCAGCTAAACATCAAAGACTTCATTTAACCTTCACTTAGAAGACAATAACAATCTCGAATTTTATTCCTTGCTCTGTTCTAAGAATTTAAAAAATCATCAATTCCACCTAATCCCGAGTCTCTGAAAACAATGAAAATAACACAACGAGTTCACAACTCAATAAGTGGATAAATTTGTACATTGAACACTGGTTTTGTAAAAATTCAAATATTTCGACAAATGATAAGCAAAATATAAGAATGATAGAGAATCATCAATGAACTCTAGCACTTGATACAAATATATAAGAAAACTTAAAAATCATGAAATGGAAATAAGCAGGTTACGTCTCAGTATGATCAACACTTCATACTCCGGTTGACTCGGTAAACCCCACAATTATTAAGCCTGTAGTTCTGGGACGGTGAGACCCAAATTTGGGCTCTTAGCGCTAAAATAAAACCTCATAGAGGCACATTGAGCCATGTTTTAATAACTTGCTTATATCTGACATATACCAGTATATTTACCAGAGATGCATATGCTCTAAGAAAATTAAACAAAGTTCGTAAAACTAAATACGTTATACAAAAATGCCAAAGACCAACTAATAGTGAAATCAATCAACCACATATGCATCTTAACCTACTACTATATTAAAATACACAACAATTGACAAGAAAATAACCATAGGCTTATACCAAATATCCATGTGCGTCACCTCCAAATCAACATTTAACATGTGAGTAAATCATCCAAAAGGATATAATCCATCAGAAATAAATTCGCATATAATTAATATAATTTATATGAAAAATACGCAGTGTACTATGCATGAATTCACCAATTACCCCAAACCCGAAAGATAATCGAAATACCACTCACGATGCCTCCTCGGAGCCACTCGAAACCCCTAAAGAATACATATAAACAAGGATCAATACTATTGTAAACCCTCGGTTCAAGCACCTGCTAAAAATAATCAAAAGGCCTACTAACTAATAGCGCGCTATATATTCAGTCACATATATTTATAAATAAATAAAATAGACACCGTCACCTATTCAATCTCTTTGGTATAACTTGTCTAGTTATCCAAAAGTCTACAGTCAAATATATGCATCTATAAATATAGCTTATCAATATTCTAATATAACTAGGGACATGACTAGCCAACAATCAAATAACTATATATAACATTAAACAAAAGGGAAGCAGCAACACGTCTCTTTGTCTACCATGGCCAAGAGCTCAACAAAAATAAATATTAATCAAAGCAAACTCTAATATTTATGCGTTTGTCAAGAGAGGATCATACATTGATTAATATTTTTTTATCTCAAAATCCTGATGATCCCTAGGATGATCGGCCCCTCTCTGTGATTTTTTTTTGTTGTGTGCGGCAAAACAGAGACGAGAGGAAGAAGAGAAGCTGACGGGAAGAAAGGGTAGGGTTTTGTGTATTTATAGGAATCCTTTTTGCTATAAGAACCCTCTTAACAATTTTTGCACAAAAGTCCTCTTATATATATATATACTAGTATTTAGACCCGTGCAAAGCACGGTTTCTAAAAGATTTTCTGCAAACAGTAAACATGTTACTAAAATAAAGTATTTTGCTTTAGATATGAAGTATAGGGGTGCTATTTGCTTTTTTTTATTCGTTCAGATATTCGATCAAGTTTAATTCAATAGTTCATTTAGTACCAATTGTCCAACACCATATGACTCAACTGCATTTATTTGTATACATAATGTACCAATTGTCCAACACCATATGACTCAACTGCATTTATTTGTATACATAATGGTAGATCCATGATAGCGTTTAAAGTCTCATAGACCATATGACTCAACTGCATTTATTTGTATACATAATGGTAGATCCATGATAGCGTTTAAAGTCTCATAGATACATGGACTATAAAGACTCGCAAATTACTTGCCATAATGATATACTAAGACGACAAACAATATCAATCACGACATCTCAAATTAAATAGCTACCTCATGTTGTTCCAAAGTTCACAAAATGGAGGTACAATTCTAAGAAAAGTAGATGCAGAATTAATAATGAAATTAGAGAGGAAAATCTTGTTTTAATAGAAAACCTAGCCTAAGTAGCTTGTAAAGTTTAATTTAGTTTTGACTCTTCAAACTGAAACATATAACTTTAGATTATTCAGTTTTAATTTTTCAAACTTAAATATATCAGTTCAGAAATTTAACAAATATCAGTTCTCTCTTTAGCTTTTGATTTTTGTTTTTAAGCATAATTTAGTGGTATTTTTTTTACCATGGGGTTTTTAAACAGATTTTCAAATTATGTTATTTATAATGATTTTCAAATTATGGTAGTTATAGTATTCTAACTAACTGTCCTAAACAAAATCACAAAAGAAAAAAAAGAAAAAGAAAAAAGAGAAAACGAAAAAAAGTAACAAATTTATGTTAAAATTTTCATTTGGAAAAATGTGCAGTCTTGATAATAGGTTTAATGAACATATGCTCTGTGATTATTTTCTTAAAATTTCTCTAATCTATATGGATTAAGAGAAGTTATTTAGAAACTATAATCTTAAAAGATATTGAATTCTAAAACCGACTTAAATCTCATATAAAATCTTTTTTGAAATAATGCTAACATAATTTACATTCTGTTTTAAGAATGTAGTAGTTTAATATCAAATATTAACATGATATCAACTCAGTTTAGAGTACATTGTAGTTCAAGATAATCTTTTAAAATAATATTAAAATAATCTCAATTCAATTTAGTTTATTAGAGAAAGGAATAGAGCCATTTTTCAAATTTGGTTTATTTCCTTTTTTTCCATGGGAGGTAACTTTTTCGGCGGGATAGATATAAATACTAAATGTTTGACTTGTGGCCAGCCTAGTGGCAGAGTATAGGTGTATTTTTACCAAAAACCTATAAATTTTCTTGTTTTCAACATTTGTGTTAGGGTAAACCTAATTAAGCTCATCAAAACTAATCCAAAGCAATAGGAATAACATTAGAAGGGAACCCTAAAGATTTAAGCACAAATTTTCTAGGTTTTTATAAATCCAAACGGAAAAGATATTGATGATAATAAAAATAATTCCCTAAAGAAGAGAACCGTTGCCAGAGATGAAGATCATGTTCTTCTGGTGCAATTCTTCTCCCTCTGTCCTTCCTATCTTGTGAACTCCTGCTCCTAGAAAGGATGCGTTCTGAGAAAGAACAGGAACTCTAATTTTTTGGTTCATTTAAGCTATAGCCTATTTACAACATAAGCCACTGACTTATTTTATTTACTCTCATAATTTTTTGGTTCATTTAAGCTATAGCCTATTTACAACATAAGCCACTGACTTATTTTATTTACTCTCATAACCCTAAGAGTTACATATGCAAAAGCCTATTTACAACATAAGCCACTGACTTATTTTATTTACTCTCATAACCCTAAGAGTTACATATGCAAAATCTCCTTCCATACACGTAAATGTATAGTTTCTATAAAGAAAAGTTTCTACAGAGAAGACAATTCTCTATAAGTTTTGCAGACTAAATAGCAGTTCCAAAGATGTGAGGAACATGATCTTAATCTTCAAGACATCATGGAAAGAGTTAAAAGGATGGTTACCTTTTTGGGATGGATTCATAGATATAAAAATAGAATTGAGAGTATGCTTTGACATATATTATCG